TTATTGAGTACATCAGAGGGCTGGGTTAGTACATGAAAGGGCTGGGTTAATACATCAGAGGGCTGGGTTAAGCATATATACGTCACACTACCTAATACAAGCCCATAACCATATATGATAATACATGAAACACAAGGGATCATGTGCTTCGATTGAGCACGTGACAAGCTGCGGGGGCTTGCCTCCTGAAATTTGAGGCTTTTCCCCATGTTGTTGCTGGTACTTTCCATGCTAGCTTCCTTGTTAGTGTACGACTGATTTTACTAGTCTGCATTAACAGAAATGCCTAGCATGTGATGGGGTGTTATAATGCAACATATAACTAGAAATGATACACTCATAATTGCAGAGTTACAACCCATACAAATATAAGAGAGAAAAGAGTTAAAAGAAACATTTGTTTTTCTGTGACCAGGTGAAGTCAAGCCACTGGTGTCTTCAAAGATTCCTGTTGAAGGGAAGAACATATCTTTTGTGAACGATCTTACAATGACTCGGGATGGAAGGAAAATCTATTTTACAGATTCTAGTAGTAAATGGCAGAGAAAAGATTATTGCTTATTAATCATGGAGGCGTCAGATGATGGACGGTAAATGTGCTAGCCTGAGTTGTAAATTACAATTGCCAAAGCAAAATGGTGATCAAGCAGTATGGTATTATTACATGGAGAATAATTTTCTGGGGCTGATGGGTGTGGTGTTTCTAGAAACAAGTGTTTGTTCTTGGTGTGATTATTCTTAAAATATTTACTTAAAATAGTCAAGTAACATTTATACTTAAAATTGCACTGGCTTAATAATCTGTTGACATTCTTGATTGAGGTATCTTTCCTTATTCCTTCTTCCTTGACACGGAAAGTCTGTATTCTTTTCTATTCTCTGCATAAAGTTGCTTTCCTAAAAGAATAGTATGATGGGAATGTACGGGTGCTCAGTAGTAGTGTGGTGGAGAAAAATGCCACTGGCCCTGTTATAACCTTAAATACCACTTTGTTTCCTGGTACAAGTCAAAGTGTTGGGGATAAATGTAATGTTCAGGATACCTCAGAGACCACTGTATTCCACATTAACCTGTGTGTGCCTTAAAATCTAATGGATTGGCTGAGGCATATTTGGTTTGGCCAAGTTAAAAGGCCTTCTCTATGTAACTAGGTTCTGAAGCTCCCTAGCTTGAGAGGCCAGTTGTTCCATCAATGTTGTTTTAATTTTAACAATTTCAACTATAGGCTGTTCTTATGCATATGGGTAATTCATATGCTTAGAAAGGATTGAGAGGGGATTATTAATACAATTACAGGTAGTCCTCGACTTATGACCACAATTGGGACCGGAACGTCTGTTGCTAAGTGATGCAGTCATTGAATCGCACCCAATTTTACGAACTTTTTGCCATGGTCATTGTGAATCACCATGGTCGTTAAGCAATTCACAGTCATTAAGTGAGTCCGGCTTCCCCCATTGACTTTGCTTGTTGGAAGCCCCCTGGGAAGGTTGCAAGTGGTGAGCATGTGACCCTGGGACACTGCAACTATCATAAATACTTGATGGTTGCCAAGTGCCCGAATTTTGATCAAGTGACTTGTGGTGAGGACCAGTTGTAAGTAACTTTTTTCAGCGCCATCGTAACTTTGAACAATCGTTAAATGGTTGTAAGTGAAGGACTATCTGTAGTAATATTTGTGTAATTGTTCTGTCTTTAGCTTACTTGAATATGACACGGTGACAAAGGAAGTCAGAGTCTTAATGGGAGGACTCAGATTTCCAAATGGAGTCCAGATCTCTCCTGCTGAAGACTTTGTGTTGGTGGCTGAAACAACTATGGCAAGAATACGAAGGTAGGTGAGACACTTGTGAGGATGCTGTATAGGTCCAGCTATTTTTTAAAAATGGACTAAATAGGAAAATGAGTAGAAACTTTGCCTCCTGCTTGATTGATTTATATATCAAATTTGTCACTGCCCATCTCATTAAAAAATCACTCTGGGCAGTTTACAGGGAAGCTACAACCAATTAAAAATACAATATAAAATTGCCTTGAATAAATAAATAAAAATAGTCCAAGAATTGATGTCAATTGGCGAGTAGCTTGGGTAGCGTCATCAGGGTGATACTGATATTTATTTATTATCCTTGCTAAGCAAGGAGGATTTTTTACTAAGTCACTGTGTTCTATAATTTCTGAAGAATGTTACTGGCTAACTGGGATGCTCTATAGGTTTTGTGGTGCTTTATTTGTTTTTTAGTAAGCAGTAAACTTTATCCTGCCCTTTGTATTTGCTCTGGATTGCTATTGTTTTAATGCATTCTGTTGCTCATGATACTGTTTTATAGTTCTAACCACATTCTGATCATTAGATTAGAAGGTTAGAAACATAGCGTAAAATATTAATAGAGTCTTTGTTTCATACAGCTAGTCTGTAAAATTTTATGCATTTTTCAGGTATTACGTATCTGGACTAATGAAAGGTGGAGAGGACATGTTTGTTGAAAATATGCCAGGTTTTCCAGACAACATCCGTTTAAGCAGCTCTGGAGGTTATTGGGTAGCTATGTCAGCTATTAGAACCAATCCTGGATTTTCTATGTTGGATTTCTTATCTGAAAAACCATGGATTAAAAGAATCATATTTAAGGTAAGAAAAAACAGTAACTATTTTTTTGTATTCATATACTAGACTGAACTCAACATTCTCTAAAGGAAATTCTTTTGAGTAGGTTCCCTTGTAAGGAATTTATTGCTTCTCCCTGTCCTCTTCCAGGCCCAGCCATTGCAACTTTTAAAAATATGCTTTGTTTAATAATACAGAACAAGAGGAAAAGAATAAAACAATAACAAAGGGGAAATAAAAGGAATGCAACAATCATTGTAATAGTTGTTATTGTTGCAGTCAATGCAAGCACAATGAAAAGTTATTCCTTAACTGGATTCCTTATTTTTGGAACCGGTGTACACACAAAAAAGGCTTATACGAGTTTACACTGTGAATTTCAAGATGAATCCCAAATGAAAATCATAGTACCAGATACTCCATTTCTGTCAGTAGTGGCAAGTGATTGGTTTACATGGCACCTTGTTTGGCCATCCTTAAAGATGGCAGCTAGAAGGAGGCCTGGCAAACAGATATTTTCAGTCTCTAGTTCAGTAGATGTTTCTGTTGCTTTTATTGCCATTCTGCATGTATGGTGTTAATTAAAAGGTTGATGAGAGTAATGCATAATCTAAGTCCTCTCTTCAGTCTTTTTGCAGACCAGGCAATCTGTTTCTGAGTCCTCTCCAGTCCAGTAGCTGTTCTTCCTGCCAGTAGTCCTGTGGCTGTTGTTCGATACTGATTCATATACATCTTATAGCTCATTTGTTATATATATGCATTTACAGGACTTCTGGTCAGATATGAAGGCTTTCTGCAAAAATCATGTAGGTTGGAACAGAGCAAAAAGAATTTCCTACTTAAAGTTATGATATATAAAACGTTCTTTCTGTGTACCATACAGTCAGTGATTTTGATGTGTGAGATACTTTTGTTGTAAATTGCTTTTTTTCATATTTCTACTATAGCTATTCAAAAAGTTAGACAATTACAGATGGTAGTTATAGAAGTTGTAGTCAATATTGTGTAATATCTTATGGTATTCTCCAATGATGCATTTGATAATGGCATAAATATAAATCTAATGCAAAACCCCCCAACTATTTGTATTGAACTTTTTTCCGACCAAGTCCATTTCAGTACGGCACCCACTGATTAACAGGAACAATCATTATTATCAATTAGATTCCAGAGTGCTTAACTTTGTCTGGCATCGTGCATATTCAAGTATTTAAAACATGTATTAATGAAACGGTAGTAATTGATTCAATAATCTCAAGTGTTTGTAATGTTGATGATTAAAAGAGAACTATCTATAACATGTGTTTGTGTTGCAGCTGCTCAGTCCAGAAACTGTGATAAAATTTGTGCCCAAGTACAGCCTTGTTGTAGAATTAAGTGATACTGGATCCTACAGAAGAAGCTTCCATGATCCAAATGGAATGGTGGCAACATACATAAGCGAAGCACATGAATATAATGGACATCTCTATTTGGGGTCTTTCCGATCCCCTTTTATTTGTAGATTGGACCTTAAGGATGTCTAATTCTGAGTTGAAAGCAGTACAGCTGTTGCCTTGAATTACTCTAGAATGACAAAGGATGAGTCACACATTTTGGACAAGAAAGAAGAATGGAAGCACAGTCAGTCATGAGCACTGTAACACTGTTTAACTAGCAGGATGCAGAATTAGTCCTCTTCTTACTTAGGCATGCCGTACCATAAAACCTGTGAATTACCTTGTTTAAATTCCCTTTCAAAATGGTGGGCTGTGTAGAAGTTTTTGGTGCACTGTACCCTCTCTATAGCACCTTTATTACCTTTCCATAAGGTAAATAAAATACAGAATTACCTCATGAAACAATATTTGTTGCATTTAATATTTTTAGAAATGATATTCAAATTCATTATATGTATGTGGTCAGCTTTTCAAAGTTCAAAATTTTGTCCTGTAAATACATCATTGCTCTGAGGTTGCTAATCTTAAATGATACAGTGCAGTGAATTTATTTCCAATTTGGATCTCTCTTTATAAGCATGTTTTAATGCATGCATATTATAATGGCAATGCATTTATAGTTGTATTAATAAACTGAACATGACTGCAGCTATAATTCCATTTCCAGTCAATGCTATTTTCTGCATGAATAATTTTAAAGACGTGGAATTACTTCTATGGGATTCTTTAAATCTGAGGCTAATGTAACTAACTTAGGAAAAGCTGGTTCCACTGTCCTATTATGCCTCTACTTAATCATTGACACAAGTCCTTCAGGCATAGGAATGTTTTAATATGGTGGAGGGGCTGTATTAAAAAAGTCAGGATGGCGGCCATAACCATACAATTAAAGCTCTACTGCTTTATGTGCATTGCGATGCATATTAAAAATTGATGAGGCTTTGGTCACATGGATGTGGTGGTTTTTTTTTTTTTTACCTGCCCCCTGCAGTAACCTATTTAATATCCTTAGCTTTTAAATGAGGGGTGGCCTTCAGTGCTGCTGAACTATAACTCTCAGCCAGCAGACATGGTGGTGGGGGTTGTTGAAAATTGCAGTCCAGTGACATGTAGAAGACCATCATTTTTCCATCTTGCATTAAATTTTCATACTATTTCACTGGCACAGTGTTATTAATTTCCACAGAAGCCTTTATGTCTATCAGCTGATCAAAACTTCATTAATTTAATATTAAATATGAGGTTGAATCAAAAGTCTGTTAATTATGACTGAAATTTATTTTTCAGGTATATGAAGAACTAACCTTGGCTTCCCAAAATATATTTTATTAAATAGATTTGGCATATAAAATTAAGTGCTTTCCTTATGTGTGGACAGTTTTTTTTTTTTTAATGCTAACAAAAAGAGTTTAGAAATCAGTATAGAAAATATATTGTGTTATTTCATTCAATTTTGAGGCTGCAAGGCTCCCCAATGACTTTGGATAGTTTACAATTAAAAGCAAACAACATTTATAAAAAAAAAGGATACAGCTGACTGGAAGACCAGTTGTGTCTCAGGCATCCCTCCCAACCCCCAAACAGAACTCAAGCAGAACTCGAAATCCAAACATAGCAAAAGTAAACTGCATGTTGAATTAAACTGCACAGGCAGAAGGCATATTTTTTTGGTGCTGAAAACAAGCAGCTTTCCAGATGGAGTATCATCTGCAGAAAAGGCCTGCATCCAGACATATCACTTGCTTCACTTAAGTGAACAAAAAAAGAAAAGAAAAAGAAAAAAACTCCAGAGGCGCAAACAGGTTCTTCTAGGTTACAGATGATTCACAAGCACTGTATTTGAGCTCGACACACAAGGGAGAGGGAGGAAGGATTGTATCAAAACATCCATTTTATTCCCTTGGTAGAAAGAAATACACAGTTTCTATGGGGTGAGAGTTCCAGAACTCTCCAGGGGAGGGTCTGTTGCCTATCAGCCAAAAGGAGAGAGAGTAGGAACTATGACAGAAGCAACGTCCAATAACTCAACAAACATGGAATTTGAAAGCAAGAGATACAAATTTTGAGCTCCACCAGGGAAACTGGTGCCTGGCAAAATAATGTTCTCTGCGGTCTTCCATCCAATACTAATTGCTTTGCTATTTCAAGATCAGCCACTTGCTGCCACTAATTGGTCCATTTTTAAGTCCTGCCTTTTGCAAATCACTGTTTATAGTACAGTAGTGATGGGCAAGCAAAAGGTTCCTAAAATTTACCATGTTACAAAGGCGGAAAAAGGTGTGGCCTGCCAAATGATGTTGAATATAACACCCAGCAGTCCCAGCTAACAATTACCAAGTTTCAGTTCATCAACTCTAAAGAGCTGTAAATTGTTTACTCCCCCAACCTGGTAGAATTAGGATTAGTTTACATGATATGCTAAGCCATAATCTCTCTCTCTCATACACACAAACCAAAACAAAAAACAAAACCCACTCTTGGTTCTTCACCAAGCTTTTTTTGCTTTGATGGAGCATAATTCAGGGGGAATGAAAACCTTTTTACGGCAAATGCACCATGCAGGTGTGAAGATCATGTTGACCAGCGTGCAAATCACCGAGTTCTTCTGCCCATTTACAGTTTATGTATCTGAGTTGGTCCAGATAGGAAAATGTGTTACATTGTCATCTTTACCCTTCCATTATTGTCAGCTGTAATACCAAAATCAGCTATCAGAGAGGAAACATCTTAAACATGAAGAATGACAAGAATAGTGTATTTTTTCTGCTCCACTTTTTTTTTTTTAGTAAAAGTTAAATCTAACTAAATATTAAAGGTACCATGAGTAAATGCAGGTACCCACTCTAATACTGTTGCATAATCTACTTTTGATTCTGATACAGGTAGATAGATTGCGACATAAATTTGTTATATATATATATTGACAAAATAGCTCAGAAGCAATATCCAAGAGATGTACTCAAATATTTGGAGGAAATGCTGTACATTCTGTTTTATTAATTTTAGAAAGCTACATGTATCGTTCTTTAGACTCTTTTATGTTACAATTTTTTGAATGTAGAATTTGATTTCAAAAACTTAACTGGAAAATTACCAGGGAAATCCTAAAATTGCTATTTCAATTTGATGGGCAAGGTAGCAGTAGAGATAGAGAAAGCAAATGTATTAAAATATCTTAAGTTGTTTAGTTGGGATCACAACCTAAATAGTATGCTGGGCATTTGTGTCTTTTGAAATTCACAATTGGTTTATCAGTTCACTTACCTGGTTATAACAATAGTTACTCAGTGTGTGGCACTAGGGAGTTAGCCATCTGTTTGATGCCCCTGGAAAATCCAGCTGGACTTTAGTGATTCATAGTAGGTCTCCACCCAGAAACCAAACATTACTATTTGAAAAGGTGGAGTTTTTGCACACAGCAGTCTTAGACTACCAGGTATAAACAAGCTCCACAAAACATAATGTGCATTTTCCTATAGTTTAATCAATCTATTTTGCAGTTTTAAGAACTAGACAAC